ACACACACACACACACACACACACACACACACACACACACACACACACACACACACACACACACCTTCTGTGTCACATGTATCTCACTCAGCTCCATTCAGGGCTGGCTTTAGAGTCAGATTTATAGCACGAATCCAGACACCTGGACAGGACTAAAAGCCTTTATGTAGTGTGTGTTGGTGTGGGTGTGTGTGTGTTGTGTGTTGTGTGTGTGTGTATGTGTGTGAGGTGAAACCCTCTGAGTCTCGGGATCCTCTCACCAGTCGTTCCCAGCAGCCTGAGGAGCGCTGCTTGTTGTTGGACCSGGTTTGTTTTGGGTTGTTGATCAAGCATGGCCTCTGTTTTGTCGGTGGCGCCAGTCAGTCTGGAGCTCTGCAGCTCACACCCCCTCCTCCCTCTGCCTCTATTCATCCCCTCCACAGGTGTGCAGGCTGCACAGAGACGCTCCAAAGCCAGCAGCAAAGCTTCGCCAGGGACTCACACCCAACTGGAGGCACAATCACACGGGGATTGCAAAACCGCTGGGAGGAATTAAACTAAACAAAAAAAAAAATCACTTCATATCAACTTTTCCCCCCTTTTTTTTAATTCCACTGAATAAGGACTCAGTGTGTAGACATCTTCTTGCTCCTGTTTCAGCCACTCACTTTTCTCTTTGTCTTTTTATTACTTAAAAAAAAGAGTCCCCACACTGAGAAGTTGATCTTTGTTGTTGCTGGAAAACCCATTTATGAGAAAAAAAATGTGTGTGAATTGTGCTTAAAGAGTAACTAAAACCAGTTTAAAGCTTTACTCAAGTGCGAAAATTACTGTACATGTTCTGAACATCTATTGTTTCAAATAGATGGTCCGTGCTGAAGAGAAGARGCCGTCTTCACATGATGTTGTAAAGGAGGACAGTTCTGATTCGAGACAATTAAGCTTGTAAATATAGAGACACAAATGTTCTATAAAAGGTATGTGAAAGGAAGACTTATATGCTGAAAATGGACTATTGTAATTATAAAATATTTTTTATTAAACTCTTGTTTTTTTTTTTGTTTTTTTTTGTTGTTTTTTTGCAGTAAACTGTACATATGGTGTTTCCACTTTGGTGAATGACCGTGCTTCTGCTCTGAAATCAGTAAACTCCTGGCAGAAATGTTGAACTAGTTGAATATGTAGCATGTCCGGCTCACTGCGGGGGGAGGCTTGAATGTGCACTGACGCAGCCCTCTTTGTGTGCGTACACTATGTGGGCCAGTTATTTGCCCTTCTGCAGCTTTCTCCTCCATTCTTTTGTATTTAACGACACCTTCGACCTGGCTTGGTGGGGGGTTTTTGGAACAATGGAAGTGGGGGCGGGGACAAAAGGAATAAAAAGTTGTTTTATTTAATTTTGTTAAATTGCACTTGTGTTAAATATTCAAATCTAAGAGCACTTCTGTTCACAAAAAAAAAAAAAAGAATCAGAATGTCTGAGCTTCTCCTTGACGAGTTAATGACTGACARTTGGAAATGATTAAATTTTTGCTTKTGACTTGTTGGATTTCTGTATGTGTACATTAAACAATCCCTGCTGGAGGGACWACAGCTACTATTAATGTAAAGAAAAAAAAAGCCTTTAATTTTCATGACATTCAACACCGAATTTACCTCACCGCCCTCCTGCCAGTGCGAGGGGGCACTTGTACATTTCTGTCAGCTGCACTGTTGGACTTGACCACTGGCTTGTGAGGAGTTGTCAAAACAATTAAAGTTTCCAGGAAGAACTGTGTCGTCTCAAGTTTTTGAGAGGGAGGTGCACTTTCACACCGTTCGCCGCATTCCCTCAGATTTYCGGAAAAGAAAAAAGAGGATAAAGTTATTCCTGCTACATGTTGCAGAGGTCTTTTACTGCTAATCCTTCAAACCTGCTTTACTGGATCCACAGATGAAGCTTTGTATTTTTTTGTTTTCGGAGCTTTTCTTAAATCCGTCGCACACAAACACCAGAGGCTGGGCTCTCTCTCTCTCAGACAGATCTCTGTGTAAAACTTTTATATCACCAAGAATAATAAGCTCTTTGTCTTCTCTCTGAAAATGTCTTTGTGAACACAATGATTTAACATTCAGTCATTTTACCTTGGGTCTCTCACACTGTTAAAAAATGTAAAATAATCAATAAGAAATGAAATGTTGAGTTAATTCGTTTCACTAAACTTGCTTGTTCAAATGTAAAAAGTAATAATGATTTGAAGGTTTGTTCTTCCAAAATATTTTATAAATTCTGACTTTTTTTCAAAAGCAAAGGGAGGAAAAAAAGCACAGACTTAGAAAAACTTAAATAAAAATGGACTGTGCAAGTACAGAAAGCATCTCAACTTCTTTAAGGAATATATGAAGACAAACTGATTCATTTRGTTAGCAAGGTTTAATAATATAATATAGCTTCATTACAACAAAATCRCAATTAAATAACTAATTCAAGCAACACCCAAACTTCATTCCTTTGAGTCCTTACAAGTCTSAAAAAATAAAAACAAAAAAGAAATTTGTGAATGCGGATCATTTTCCTTTTGCAGAAACAAAACCTTTTTTGTTTTCCTCACGAACCGCTGAGAACTTAGTTTGTCAAAGAAAACAAAATGAAGCAGTAAAACCTTATTAATTATTAGTAACAATCTTTACTGCTGTCCGACTTAAACACAGAGCAGAACCAAAGACGGAAATAAACAAAAACAGGTGGAAATGGTTTTAAACAAAAAATATAAAATGGAAGACCAAAAAAGAGTTAAAAACAAAAACAACTGGACCTCCAATTCTAAAGCTGAAGACATTTATCC